TGTCTTCGGGGCTTTATAGTTTATCAGGTGTTGCATATACGAGGATGCTTCAAAAGTTCATGAAAAAAATGCCATTGTCTTATTTTCATTTTTCCACAAATTTTGAATCCTCTTTATATAATCCAGTGCCCTTGAGTTTATTCCAAATCATGGCCACCCCATGTGTGTCAGAGTAGAATTGCCCTCTGTTGACTATTCAGTGGGCTTAAATCCTAGAGACCAATATTGTCAGGCCCTATATAGAACTGGATTGTCAGCCCCTCCTTTTAGAGTCGGATACAAACTTCCAAGTTTGGGTGAGATGCTTTTATTATTAGGTGCCCTCGAGTGAGTTCTGATTCCTAGTGACGTCACATCATTCCTATGTGACAGCCTTCTGCTGCAGCCTCTTTGACTTTCTTCTTTTTGATGACTTTCTGCTTTACCAGCATGATGCCCTCTTCCAGGAGCTGATGCCGCCTCCTGATATGTACAAAGGACATGAAATGGAGGCTTGCTGTCCATCCTTCTTAAAGTTTTCTGGTTGTACTTCTTCCACAATAGATTTTCTTTTTGCTCTGGCAATCCATGATATAATTTTTTTTTCCATGATATAATTAATATGCTTTACTAACACCATAATTCACCATAATTCAAATGCATTAAATCTTCAGTCTTCCTTATTCATTACCCAGAATCACATGCATATGAGCTGATTAAAAATACCATGCCTTTCGTCAGGCACATCTTAGTTTCAAAGTGACCTATTTACTTTTGTTCTTTTAACTAAATTTTCTTCAATTGCTCAAGGCGATATGATTTCCTGACTCTTCCTTAAGAATTAGTTTAACTCCAAGTAAAATGAAATTCTTGACAACTTCAATCTTTTCTTCATTTATCATGGTATGCCTCTTGGTCTAATTGTGAAGATTTTGGTTTCCTTTAAGTTGAGGTGTACATCGATATTGAAGACTGAAATCTTTGATCTTCATGAGTGGTTTGTCTATATTCAGGAAGTAAGGATGTATCATCGGTCATAGATTGGTAATGAGTGTGTCTCCTTTTTGGATTATCTGCTCAGCATACAGATTGATTAAGTATGAGGAAAGATAGAAACCTGACACACATCTTTCCTGATCTTAAACCATTTATTTTTGCCTTCCTCTTTTGTCTCCCTCATGGTTTCTGTATAGATTCCATAACTATGTGTTCTGGAATTCTTATTCTACACAATATTATCCAATATTTTGTATAATGCAAACAATGAAAACCCTTTGCATAGCCAATGAAGCACAAGTAAACAAGTTTCTGTAATCTCTCCTTTCAGTTCAGATCTTTCTGATGTCAGAAATGTTGTATCTTCTACATTTCTGAATATGCTTTAATTTCTGGCAGTTTCCTTTTGATATACTAGTGCAACCATTTTTGGATTAGCAAAGTGTTTCTCATATGTGATAATGATGCTGCCTTATAATCTCTACATTTTGTTTGGTTGTCTTTCTTTGAGATGAGAAGGATTATGGATCACTTCCAATTGGTTGACCAGGATGTTCCCTTTCAAAATTTTTGGCATAAAAGTGTGAGAAGTCTCAATGCCACACCTATTTGTGGAAACATTTTAGCTGGTATTCTGTCAATTCTATTTTCAGTTGAATGCAAATTTTGTTGCCTACTTGGTAGAATAAAAAAGTCAATGCAACCAAGAGAAACCCGGGAAGGGTTAATATAATGGTTGAAAGAATGAGATCAAACATTTCTACGATTGTGAGGCTAGTCTAAAAACAGGCATTATTTTATTATATTCTACTCCAAGGTAAGGACTGAGTGAGTCAGAGTGGACTGGATAACTAACGGAATAACTGGACACCTCACAAGAGCCCCATACACAGAATCTCTATTGACTGACAGGAATCATACTAACTTGTCTCCAATCTCTACAATTTCTGGCAAGTAGTGGACACAAGTAATTATAGTATTAAGAAGACATCAAGAAGTCTACATAGCTTATAAAAATATCAGAATGGACTCTAGGACTCAGAATGGAATGGGATTTTTGTTTTGTTTTGTTATGGATTGCCTTAAGTCTCCCAAAGTTATATGTTGGCATTTTAGCCCTTATATCTGTACATGTAATCTCATTTGCTAGTAAGCTGTTCTGTGTTGCGCCAATGAGGCCATATCAGTGCAGGGTGTACCTTAATTACACTTCATTTTGAGATATAGAAGGAGAAAATCACGCAAAGAAGCAAATAGGGAAAACAAAGAAAAAGATAGCTGCCCTATCCAGATCACCAAGAAACACTCACAAAAATACTAGAGAGACCAATGCAATCATTTTTACCAGGAGAAGAAAGCATATTTCCTAGAACTAGCACATTACGTTTAGATTGTTATTCTAAATTATGAGGAAATAAAGCTGTGTGTCCTTTTAAAACCCATAGCATATTTTTTGAAGTAACAACACTAGATAACTAAGATAGTGGCTCAGAAAAAAGGGAACTTATTCATATTTTAGGCAAATATACAATTGGTATTATAAAGCAAAAAAAAAAAAATCCGTGGTTCAGTTTGTGCCTTTCTGTTACCCGTTTACCTTTTTATTAAACTGTGATTGGTATTTGTGGCATTATGCTTCACCAGCTACAGATACGATGAATCACTTAAATATAAAGCGCATTCATTCTAACTACTTGTGTTTATTGTACTATTTTTGGTCACTTAATATTTAAATTGGCTTTCTCTTTAGAATAACGATCCAAGAATACAACAAAAGTTACATTAATATGAGTTCTAATTCTTATTATTGTAATGAAGCACTGTGTTCCATAGTGAATATCAGTCAAAATTTCACTTGGAAATAAGTTCAAAGGATTCCTAGAGCACATACTATACGAAGAATCAATGATCACATGAAGCTTCTATGTACCAGTTTATCATATTAAAAACAAATGGTGAAAAATAAACATTGAATACATGTAAGATGTGTTATGTATCTGGGTGTGTAAACTTGGTCAGTTGAACCCCCTCTGATACATGCTGGAGCTGATCTGGTTTTCAACATTTGCTGCACTTTTGTTCTGTTCTGTTCATTCATATTAGGGTGGACCTCATAGGTGCCGTGTTCTTAGGGCTCACCATCTTGACGTTATGCCATAGGGTTTTTGGTATATAACA